GGGCCAAGCGGAAAATGAGCTAGTGAAAGAAGGACAACGGTTAAGGCGATGTGATAAATATGTATATAAAATAAAAATATGTATATAATATGTATATAAAATGTAACCAAATAGGGCCATGGGGAAGCTATACGGGGTACGGTGAATGTACTTATATTTCGTATGGTAAACCGTGGCTCTCTCTCAATGCGGGTCGATGTACTTAGGACCTAAGTTAGGTGCTTGTAGTGAAGAAAAAAGGTCCTCGAGTGTCCGAAAGTTTATACGGCGTGTGATTACAATAACGCTCTGGCTGTTGTAAACACGTATGGGTATAATAAGAAAAAAAAAAAAAAAAAAAAAAAAAAAAAAAAAGCGGATGAGACAAGGAAAAAAGCACCAGCAGGCAGAACTGATGGTAAGATGCGGCGGAGATCAGCAAGACAAGAGCGGTTGGATATCTTTGCAGGGGATCAAGGGAAAAAAAAAACAAGGTCACGCGTATCGGACACGAGGGGAAGCAAGGGAGAGAAAAAGAGATTTATATATGGCACACGCTTTGCGAGATGTTGATGAAACAATGCGGAGGGTGGCTTTTTTAACACGCGCAAGCACATATTTACCAGCTTGTGTATGGTGTAAATGAAATTGGAGAGAAGTAGTTCTGTTGATTAACGCTGTCCATGCCCTTTAACGCCAAGTATATGGATGCAAATGTAAGGTGCTTGGAGAGCTGGTGCTATCGTTATCAAAGGCAAGAGAGGGCTCTATTCAGTTCACATGCCATGTACGTAATAGACAACATTATACCTTTCTCACTTGCAAGTAAATGTAAAGTACCACGATGACGCATGATCACATTACCTGTGTTCACATAAATGCGGGGGATGTTATTTACATCACCTACCCATACCCATGTGCAAGCTTTCGTAGGGATGGGAGAACGACGTGACCTGAGGCGGATAGATGCGATGAAAGCTCGATCGAAAAACATAATAATTGATGAAAACTTATGGGCTTTCAACTAGAGGAAAAATATAAGGATAGAAGTTTACGTTAAAGATCGTCATATATATAATCAACGAAGTTCCACCCTCTTCAAGAATGGTCATGGTGAGAAGCTTGTACGGATTTAAAAGAGTGTGTAAGACGAATGCAACGGTGGAAAGACAATACTTTTACTGGCAGAAAGTTTTGTACAATCACACGTGCGCGCAAGCTCCGCCTTTTATTCTCTTATTCGTCGATGCGCACTGTAACGCTTATTACCTTAGTTCCAAAACCCATAGGTTTGATATTGATGTAAGTATATAAATATGCATTATATATCAAGTACATTTGGGGGGGCACGTGCGTATACAGAAAACGAAAAGTTCGGCGCAGTTCGTCATCGAATTACGAAAGGGGATATATATTTCCCGGCTTGAGAAGAGTACATCATAGAGACTCGCCAGCGCTCGGATTCAAAATAGCTCACGTTTACGCATACATTCGTATTAGTTACATCATATTGAGAATGCGTGCACATATATACCTGTCGTCGCCTCCGTCAAACAACATCACCCGATTTTGACGACGAACGCGCTTCGCGTATAAATTGTATAGGTCGCGTATTATATAGGTGCGAGTGTTTACTTTTAAATTTATGGTCGCACGCAAGATTTAAGATTCATCCAATTTATTACGGAGAGCGCGCGAGCGATTTTTTTTTCTTTCTATTATAACCGAGCCAAAGAAGGAGGCGCGCAACAGAATATAAGTACACAGGTGTGCGTTACGTCGCATTATCATAGTCTTTTAACGATTCGCAAAAAAATGTATACCTGTTCTTATCTTATTTTCTTCCGCCTTCGCTCGATCCTTGCTTGTTTTAGTTTTTTATTCAACCGAACGGAGTCGCGATACAAGTAACCAATAAACGTAGAAACGGGACTCTTATCTCGCAAGCGTGTGCCTGTATTTATCCGCATTAGCGGCTCATAAATAATTTGTATTTTTTTTTACCACACGTGTAGGTGAGCTCGTTCGATCTACATCGAGATACGTGCACATTCGTGCTCCTCTTTTTACAAGTAAAGTGTATGTAGGTACCTCTTCTTCCATGATACTGGTAACGATGCTGCTGTTCGCCGGTTGACCCACTCCGTCGTGTGCAACTATGATATATCTTTTTCGCTGATCGTCAAGCTCCCTATGTACAACTATATACTCTCCCCTGGCTCTCCTTTAACTCCTTCACTCTGACATTTTTCTGGCCTCGTCTAATCGAATTAACCCTTCCGCGAGCGGGGGAGTCTCTCTCTTTCCTTTCTTTCGATTCACTTTTCTTGCGTATTGTAGCGTACGTGCACACACAGTAAACACCTACTCAGACCGGTACGTTCCCAAAATTACCCGCAACGGGAAACAATCACCAACGCACCTCGCGCACATCTAACAACTAAACATACCGCACTCGCAACACACTTGGCACCAATTACAGCTACATGCGAGTCTGTGTTTTCACGAGGAAAAAAAAAAAGGAAGAAACAAGCAGCGCGGATCGACCGCGATGGACAAGCTCGCTGAGCTTTTTATCAGGACAGACTATTATATGACACACTGTTGTGTCAGGCGCGCTTTCTTGGCGCTGTCTGCGAACTTGCGGATGAGAATATGGTCTGCTTGCCGCGCGCGCAACTGTTCCACATTGAAGGGTAGGGTAGGGGGAGGCGAGCTTGCGCGCGCGCGTTCGAATGTGTTGTATGAAAATATATTTTCTCTCTTTCACTATCTCCTTCGTAGTAATAATATGGGGTGGATGAGAATTAAGCTCAAAAGGGGGATAATCATAGAGAGCTTGACGATCAGTGGGAGATACTGCGATATAGAGTTACGCGATCTCTTTTCTCTTTTCAAGGTAATGCTGTACACCCCCTTATGCTCGGTAAGATGACGCTGTTTCATTATTAAATTTCCGACCCTCTATACCTATACTATGTTTGAATATGTACCTGTTTCTTCTTCGGAAATGAATTAGCTTTTTTTTATATTTGTATTTTTTTTTTTTTTTTTTTAAGAGTAAAGAACGTATGGAATTGCTGTTAGTGGCCAAGTGTCGAATAACCCAATTTTCCAATAAATTTAATAATAAAATAAGTTGTCGATGTTCTGCGCCTCCCTTCAAACCCACGCGGTCCCAATAAGCTAAATTTGGTTCAGAAAGCATTATGTGCCACACTGCGGGTAAAACCACGCTATAACTATCCCGTACGTGTCACCGTATAATTTTTTCCTTGTCAACCCCCCAACCTTTTGCTCTGCGATTTTTGAAAAGGGAAAATACAAAGCCATCGGTGGATCCCAAGGTTAAGCCAGACCTGTCTTTTTCTCCTGATAATTCTCTTCGTTCTCATTCACAAAGGCGGAAAAGTATTTTTTTTTTTTGCCTGGCCTTTTCCCGAACTGAAAGATATGTATTATTTAAATCGTTTTCGAGCTCGGACGAGTGACGCATACTAGCGCTGGCGAGGCAAAAATAGGGCTTCAGTAGCCAATCATTACTTGGAAAATCGAAGATAAATTGTAAATGGGGAAAAACCAATCTCATCAAACTTTGGCGACGAGAACGCGAATCTCCCTCCGAACGGCTCTATTATTGGATTAAATAATATTGTGGTTGGAAATCCGAGCATGCATTCCACAATCGGAAAAAGATTCGAAAATGGAGAAAAATATATTGTGAAAGTTGCTGAACACTACGGGCACCTTGTACTTACAATGACAAAAGTTACCTAAGCCCCTCTTTTGGACCGACTCTAGAAGATCAGTTGTATTATTCCATCTCGGAATGAAAAAAGTGACTTGGATAAGAAGTATACCTATCGTACGATTCATTACTCGACGGTATGTTTTGTCATTCTATTGGTTCCTAAAGTAAAAATGCTATTCACTGATCCCCTCGAAGAAAATGAATCGTGAGATTGTTCGTTGCACAAGAATATAGTTCATCGCGTCTTTATATCGCTTATTCTTTTTCAACTAAGAATTTGATATCCTAAGAGCAGAGTAAGTTGAGTTGAGGGGCAAGGGAAAAGAGCACTAGAGCTTTGTTGCAGTTGAGAACAACGTACACGTATACGAATATAGACGCTTGAAAGTAGAATTAATTGATGAGTCCTGTATAGTTTGAAGTTTAAAAAAAAAAGTGCTACGGTGACTGAAGCGCTGTAAATTATTAAAAAATTAATTCGATTTTCCCATGCTCGTAGCTCTCATTTTTTTTTTTTTTTTTTTTCTTCACATGAAATCGAAATGATCGATCCAGTAACCGCAAATTGTGCTGGTCATACTTTTTTAATCCAACTGCGACGAAAAATGCTACTATAATCGAAATATATTTTTTTCAATTAAATTCATTGACACGCCCGACAATGTATTAAATAATATCAACGTGTATACCGATAGATTGAATCGTGAAGATTAATTTAATAAGTTTCGTGAATTTATTGAAAATGAAAAAAAAAAAATGATTTCATAAGTCGTTACGTTGTCAATAATATGATGGCCCTGAAAAGGGCCGATTTCTCACCAAGTAACTTGTCTATTCCTTTAATTCTTTTTTCTCGGATCTCTTTGGCAAAAGTACGGCTTGTATATTGGGCAGAACACCTCCTTGGGACACCGTCACGTCGGCAAGCAGTTTGTTGAGTTCCTCGTCGTTGCGAATGGCCAGCTGGAGGTGGCGAGGTATTATCCTCGTTTTCTTGTTGTCTCGAGCTGCATTTCCCGCCAACTCCAGAATTTCCGCGGACAAATATTCGAGGGTTGCGGCGAGGTAAACTGGGGCACCGGCACCAACTCGCTCGGCATAATTGCCTTTTTTCAAAAACCTCTGGATGCGTCCCACCGGGAAGTGAAGTCCAGCTCGAGATGAGCGCGTCTTTGGCTTCGCCTTGGCCTTTCCTGCACCAGCTTTGCCGCGTCCAAATCCGCTCATTTTGAAATTGATTATATCGATTTACAACTTAATCACCAGAAAGTCAACCAAGTACTGATTAATTTTCTGCTTTTTTGATTCGGGATGTTTTTTTCGATCTTGTACAAGCGCAGTTACTCCGAACCAATCAGAGTGAAGTTGTCCCAAGTGGGGATATGGACTCACGTGGAGGAGGAAATCGCTGTCACGCGCTCAACCAATAAACGAATTTCTTGCCCCCACCACCTGATCGAGCTATACTCTCATTGGTTCGGAGTAGATGCTCTTGACGGAATCGCGAGAGGCAAAAAAAATTGCTACCCCTATCAGTTTTCGTCACATTCTTGAACTGGTAACACGTTTCGACTCGATCAATTTACAATGGCCCCGAAAACAGCTACCCCAGTGGAGAAGAAAAGCGCCAAAGCAATGAAGAACATCTCCAAAGGAGACAAGAAAAAGCGCTCCAAGAAGAGGAAGGAAAGTTACGGCATCTACATCTACAAGGTCTTGAAGCAGGTGCACCCGGACACCGGGGTATCCTCCAAGGCCATGTCCATCATGAACAGCTTCGTCAACGACATCTTTGAGCGCATCGCCACTGAAGCCTCTCGCTTGGCACACTACAACAAGAGGTCGACCATCACATCCCGGGAGATCCAGACGGCAGTGAGGCTTCTGCTTCCCGGTGAACTTGCCAAACATGCCGTCTCCGAAGGCACCAAGGCAGTGACCAAGTACACCAGTTCCAAGTAAATTCCCAACAAAACCAATCGGCCCTTTTCAGGGCCATCAACTATATACTCATGGAACTTGCCCGTTAATATTCACAAAACACCTACGTTGAAAATAGTTAATAGTGCACTAAATCTTTTCATGTTTTTTTTTTGGTTGATAAAGCGAGGAGGGGAAAATCTTCATAGACACCCCAGCTCTAATCCGGTGGTAGAGTCGGATTCACCTGGTGTGCGTACCGACTAAAAGCTAATCAGTCTCGCTCGAACGCATGCTTTCTGCGCACGCCCGTAACGCATCGCTCTTACTCAGACTTGAGTTCTCTCTAAACGGCCCTTTTCAGGGCTACCTCTTTCTCTTTCCGTGAACGCAACTTAGTCGCGCCGCGCGACTGTGTTTCCGCTAGTTTATACACCCGCGTACACGCCGCCCTCAGGGGTGGCCCAATTGGCTAGCCCTTCACTAGGGCACAGCCAAAAAATGAGCACTGTGGATAATCCACAATGTCAAGTCAGTGTGACTAACTCTTTTGACGCACTGTTAGAAGAATCGGACTCATCTTCCGAGATGTTAGCGCTTAACAGTGCAAGTGATCGTGCAAGTGCCAGTGCAAGTGACATAAGTGCACAGCTCCCCTCAATGTCAGCCCTGACACATAGCCGGCCAGTGGACCAGCAATCCCTCGAGCTTAGTAGCCGAGATCCCCGCGTCAACCGATGCAGCCTCCAGCGTGAGCGCAGTCCGCTCCCTCAGGCCACACCAGTACCACCCAAAATCGCCATGGAACTCGTGAGCCAAAAACAACGGATCGAGTACCTGGAAAAAATAGTGAGTGAGTACTCAGTTCAGCTGGAAAATTCCATCCAGCTGATTAATTCTCTAAAACTCTCCAACGAGGAGAAAGACGCGTCCATTGCAGCACTCTGCAAAGTCCCCCCTCACTTCGAAAATTCCGCTACCAAAAGACCCGGGTCTTGTAGAACCGTCACCTCTAAATCGCGATCCCTTAAATCTCCTTAATTCTTTCTTTCTGGAAGCCCAGAAATTCCCCCCGCTACTAAATAAGGTAAACAACACCTCGGCCAATTCCCCTAATGTGAAGCCACCCCCGAAAAAACGGCGCACGCGTGATCTCAACGCGGACGATTCCGCAGCCAATTTCTCCTACATGGAGATAGAAACATCCCCAACCCACGTTTCACCACTCAGCTCTTCCCAGGCAGGGAAAAACGCTTTCGACGGTCATCTTGAGGACCAAGCTCAACATGACTCGGAGGAAACTAACAGCCCCCCCCCCCCCCCACAA